ATCCCCAGGCTCCCCAGCACCTTCTCGCGCACCCACCGGGGGACCGGATTTCCGTAGGCTCGCGGAGGCAGCGGCGGCGCCGGCCTTCTTAGGGTCCTTGGCCAGAATCCAGGGCGGTCCGTGGCCCCAAGCCCAGTCACAAGCTCGTGGGATGTGTGGCCGCCGGAGCTGCGGGGCTGGAAGTTAATGCGTCGGCCGAGAAAATCCCCACCCCCAGACCCTCCTCCCTCGGGGATAAGGGAGGAGGAGAGAGAAAGCGGAGGAGGGGTGCCCGCGGAGGGGTGGCCGCGGGGTAACCGCGCGAAGGAGCTGGGGGAGAGGGGGCTGAGGGGGTAGGAGTGCGAGCGTAATTGAAAATGCCCGCAGTGGGATTGTGTGTGCGTGTGTGTACCTAGCTCCGCACACCTGTAGCTCCCCTTGAGTCACGCGGCACACCCCATGCAGAAGGAGGCATGCGAGGTTGTACACAATGCAGGCTGTGAGTGAGGGGGTGTGAGTTGGCACCCACCCCTCACGACAACACCCCTCCCTCCACTCATCTCTCGTCCTCCCCATCCACCAACACACCACCTTCCCAGTCCGCTCCTTGGAAATGCACACTGGCTCCAGCCCTCCCCTCCTTTGCTCAGTCTGTTCCTACCCGACTCCCTGGGGTGAGAAACCGGGCGTGGGTGCAGAGGCTCCCTGGGCCCATGTGGGCAGCAGATTCGTGCCATTCTGGAAAAGCCCAGGCAGCTCTGGTTAGCTGCCCAGACAGATGCCTGGCTGTGGGGCTCCGAACGCTGAGCTGATTAGGGAGTGCCCGGATGACGAGTTGCCGCCTGGGGGCAGAACTCTGGGGGCTCGTGGGAGTGAGACGTGTGTGACGGTGAGGAGAGCAGGAGGGAGGGGGCTCCTCCCTCAGCTGGCCTGAGGGGCCCTCCGGGCAGCCCTGGGGCCTCCGCTTCTCCCTTCCCCAGCATGGCTGCCCATTCCCAGCTGCTCCAGCTCTGCACAGCCAGGAGGGAGGGCCCTGCCTAGTGGGCTCCTACACCTGGAACCTGTTTCGCCCACCTGCAAGCCACTCGCACCAGCACCACAAATGAGGCCCTTCTGAGTCCTGGGCAGAGGGCAACACCATACCTGCCGCCGTGGTGGGGGCATCACAAGGGAGTGCTCAGGCCAGGCCCACACAGTCCCCAAGCACAGAGCCGCGCACAAAGCCACTATTATAGGTAACAGGTTGAGCCAGATTCTCTGTGTGCCTGGGAGGCCCCGCCGGCTGCTGGGACCCCGGCCCTGCATGGGTTTCTGGGCCTCCACTGAACCTCCCCGCTGGGTGCCCAGCGCTCACTCGTGGGGGATTTGGTCAGTGCAATCGGCTCACTCCAGCCCAGGAAGGAGGCAGGCCTCTCCGCCCAGGCAGGTTCGTTCATTCCCCTCCTTTCCCGGCACCTCTACGCACAATGATTCGGATAATTCCTTTTCTGGTTTTGAACAGAGACCAATCGCTTCTGGCAGGCGCGTGGCAGGCCGGAGTGGAGAACTCTCTGCTGCGGGTAGCTGGCCCTGCCTGTGACCCTCGAAGCCCCTCCCCTCCTGCCTCGGCCCCAGGGACCGGGTGGCAGCCCGGCCTTTCCCGGCTGCCGGGGCCGTCGGCGGCTGATGCGGGATTCGCCAAGATTCGGTCGCAACGAATTCCTGGCAAAGAGTGGAGAGTCTGGCGCGGTTCCTCAGCGCCAAGAGCCCCAGGGCCCCGGGGATCTGGTACCTCTGGGAGCCTCAGGGCATGTACACGTGGAAGGGAGACCCGGGCCACCGGCGAGCGCAGGGAGCGGAGTGGGGCGGGAGGTCCGCTGGCTGGAAGGTCTGGGCAGCCGGGAAGCCGCCTGCGCCCGCAGTAGGCGTGGGTAGGGAGCAGCAGCACTGGGGATCTGGCATGCGGGGTGCCCCCTTTCCTGCAAACTGGACAGGAGCCGCCGAGGGCCACCGGGCTGAGCGGTCTTTCGCCGGCCCGGGCAGGAGTGTGAACCCCAGCTATTTGTGAAAATGAGGAGGGGGGAGGTATTGGGGGAGGAGGTGCCTTATGCCTAATTTTGCTTGCATTTGTCTTGCAAGACGGGGAGAGAGGTGGCGGCGAAGAGCCCGCGGGACAGTTGTGTTTGGGCCAGGCAGCCGCTCCCCATTTTTGCCCCAGCTCCTCAGTTTGACTGTCAGAGGCCAGAAAATATCCAGGAGCCTCCGGGATATTTTCAGCAGCTTCTTGGAGGGGTGGGGATGGTTCCAGGGACTGGGAGATGGTAGGAAGGCCCGGGTCTCCTCCAGGTCCCGAGACTCTGCCGCTGGGAAGCACGGAAGGTATGTCATAAAGGCCAGAAATGGAGGAGAACTCAGAACGAAAAATGCAAAAAGTGGGGGCTGGGAAGCTCCAGTACCGGTGAGAGGGGAGGAGACAGCCAGACCTGCCCTGGCAGAAGGAGGCAAATTCTACCCAGTTCCAGGAGGCCATTTCCGGATTTCGCTCAGCCGGGGTACTGGGCGCTGCAGCCGCTGCAGGCCAGAGACCCACCGCAGATGTCATGACCAACAACACAGTCTGTCAGGGTCTGGCCTTGGTCACCCCCTGGGCCTGTGGGTGGGAGCAAGAGGCTGGCCTACGATTGATTTTTGGATGCAGAATTCTGTCTTACAGAGAGCCAGCTCAAGGGGGCCACAGCTGAGGGATGAAGACACATGGTCTATTCCCCACAAAGCCAGTTTCCCCTTGGGCCTCCTTAGGTGGGAGGTTGTTATTCTTTGTCCCCATTTCATACATGTCCAGGATGGCAGCCTGATCAGGGATGAAGGACAGTGGCTCTCTGATGGTTTCCATGGCTCCCTCAACCCCAGCTCTGCATGCACAAACATCCCCTCCCTCCCTCCAGAGCCTGCAGATCCTGGCCCCCAGATGTCCCTCAAGCTCAGGCACCAGCAGCTGCCCAGCTCACTTCCAGTTTCTAGCCACCAAGTTCTCTCACTCTTCCACCCCAAAGAAAAAGCCTCCTATCTCCCCCCTCTACTCCCCCAGAATGGTATGTTCCCCAGACCCTCCACCACCTGGCTTCTTCCACAAAAGCAGGCCCAAGTCAATTTTATACACCTGAGGTTGGTCTAGTGCAGTGATGGCGAACCTATGACACGCGTGTCAGAGGTGACATGCAAACTCATTTTTTTGGTTGATTTTTCTTTGTTAAATGGCATTTAAATATATAAAATAAATATCAAAAATATACATCTTTGTTTTATTATGGTTGCAAACATCAAAAAATTTCTATATGTGACATGGCACCAGAGTTAAGTTAGGGTTTTTCAAAATGCTCAAAAGGTTCGCCATCACTGGTCTAGTGCGTGTGGGGGGGGGGGCGCTAGATGTATGGAAAGTGTTGTGCACTATGGCTGCTGTCCTGACTGGAGTGATTTGGGGCCTTTCTGAAGGTCCCTGAGAAGTCACTTATTCAGATCCCACCTAGGGCAGGCTAGTGCTGCGAGCTGTGAAGCCCTGGTCAGAGGATCCTGGCCCCCTTACTGACTCAGTGTGTCCTAGTTTCTGCAGCTTGCTGGGTAAGGGCCTAGAACTCCAGAACGCCTAGCAGATATTGGTACCCCCACAATGTATCTGCACACCCTACCTTAGACCCCCCTCATCTTGTCCACCACCAGAATATAATTATACCCACTCACCCCCAGTCACTGGCAGGGACAGTCACCCACAATGATCCCCACTCCCCACTCATTCATTTCCCCAAATATTTACATACTGTTACAAATGATGTATACAGTAAAATATACATCTCACACACAATTACATTTACACAATTACAGAGGATACACAAACATTCACACATTTAACACAGAAACGGATTCACAAGGAGAAACTAATATGTACTCTCACAAACATTAACACATGGTTCATACACAATCACAAATACCGGTGGGTAATCATAAATTATCTCTCAAAGCACAGCTCCATTTAAACATAGTTACACACACACACACACACACACACACACCACAAGTTCGAGTGTATAATGATAGTTTCGATTTGTAACTTAAGCAGAAAGAAGCACACACAATAACTGCGAACTCAAAAAAATAAAATAATTGCAAACACAATTACACACTATTACAAATCAGTGATATTCTGATTGCCCACACCATTCAGAATGCACACACACACACACACACACACACACCCCTCACACTCCAAGACACGATATCCTCTTGAGCACTAGCTGTCCCGGGAGAGCCCTTCTCTCCCTCCTTACCTCAGCTCTGCCTTCTCTCTGTCTGTCCCCCTTCTTCCTTCCTCTCTCCAGAGCCTGCAGGTGCTGGCCCCCAGATACCCCTCAAGCTCAGGTTCCAGAGCTGCCCAGCTAACACCAAACCCAAGTAGCTGTAGGGTGTTGGGCTCAGCAAGGAGCAGGCAGCCCTAACTCCGGATCCGGAGGGTTTTATTATTTTTTTCACATAAATTACACAAGCACTTTATAAAATGGTTGCACAGAAAACACCTTATAAGTGCATAACTTAAACCCCCCCTATGAACAGGATCTGGAGAAACAGGCTGAGTTTGTGTGAAAGCCTGCCTGTGAGTACCTGGGAGGGGCTAGGATGTGTGATGGAGGTCTGGCAGGCCAAGTGACACTGTTACTGCTGTTGTGTGTGGAATGGTGTCTCACAGTGTGGCCACAGCCTCGTGTTTATGAGAAGTGCCATGCTGTTCAGAGTAAGTCTAGGTCACACCTGGCCTAGGACAGATAGTGAGAATCAAAGGTAAGAAGGCTATGGCCCTGTGTGTGCGGGACATTCTGCCATACGTCCCCTGTGTGTGATCTGGGGTGACACCAAGAGGGACAGTGGAATCACCTCTGTGTGGGCCTGTGGGTGTCCTCATCTCTGTGTGGGCCTGTGTGTGTCAGTATGTGATGGTATGTGATGAGGAGTGGGATACAGAGAGAAGGTTCCAACGATAGCCCCGATAGCCCCGTGCTGTCCTCTGGGGACCCCGGAAGCTCTTCTTCTCCCTCTTCCCCCCTCTCTCTCAGTCCCACGTTAAAAATCAGATTAAAATAAAATAGATGCAAACTGAGGCGACTCTGAACAGTTTTAGCGGGCGCAGGACCGCGTGGGAGTCAGGGCGTGGGTCGCGGGTCCCTGTGCTCTGCACTCCTTTCTTCTTTTCCACGGAAGAGAGCGCAGTTTCGGCAAGCAGGCAGGCCCCACTTGGAGGGGCGTGCTCCCCTCCGTGGGCAGTCCGAGGCCGAGGCCGGGAGGGTGGGAGAGAGTCCTGGCTCTCAGGCCTCAGCGTTGACCCCTTGGCTGGGCCGGGGTCTGAGGGGTGGGCTGGGCAGGCTCACTCGCAGGCCGAGGCCACAGACGTGACGCTGGTGATCTTGGTTGAATCGTCAGACCAGGGCTGCAGGTTCTGCAGGGCGAAGAGCGACGAGTTGTGAACGCAGAGGGGGTCTGCGGGTAGCGGCTGCGCCAGGCTCTTCTGGAAGGCCTCTTGCTGCAGCTGCAGGAGGATGCGGTTCGCCTGCTGCCTCTCGGCTTCGCGCTCCTCCGCGGTCTGCCGCCTGCACGGGGACAAGCTGTTACCCACGCTCCCGAGCGATCCCGCAGAGACCTGAGCGCGCAGGGGGCACTGCTGCCTTAGCAGCACCCAGCTCCAGCGTGGGCCCCTCTACGCATCCCCTTATCTTGAAGATCCCGACTCCCACAAAGACTGGTAACCCCAAAAGTAGACGGAACCGAGCTGTAGCAGGGAAGCTGCGGGAAAGTCCGCTAGGCAAGGAGCTGGGGCTCCCTGTCCACGCGCAGCGCCCACACAACAGCCTCGAAGGGCTCAGCCAAGAATAAAATGGCATCTTGCCTGCCCCCAACCCCCAGGAAGACCAGACACCCCCGTCCCAATCCTGAAGGGCCTCGCCTTCCCCACCAGTCCAGGAGGAGGCAAGGGCTGTGGATGCGAGCTGTCCTGCGCGACCTCTCTTCCCCCTTTTCTCCGCGAACGTGTCCCAGGCCTGGATCTCCTGCGTGAGCCCTGTGCCCTGTGCCCTGTGCCTGCCCCGCTACCGCCCGGCCAGCCGGCTTCCTCCGCGGCGTCCAGGGAGGCGATGACTCACTCCATTTAATGCCTCCCCTCCACCCCGTCAACTGAGATCAAACGTCTGTCTCTAAGGTGGACAGACCTAATGGGAGTCCCCGGGGCCTCCAGAAGCAATTTGTAGGCGATCGATGAAGCCGCGCGAAGCCAGCGAGGGCCTCTCCGCGCGATGGACGCCGGCCGGCCTCCCTCGGCCCCTTCTTGCTTTTCACTCGGTGTCTCTGGCTCTCTCCTTCCCCTTCTTTCCTGCACTTTCAACTGTTCGACTGATTCTCTTCCTTCGGGCTTTTGTCTTTATCTCTTGTTTTCTTTCATCCCCGCCCCTGCCCCGTTGGCTTTCTCAAGATTAAGGGAATTTGTTTGAAACGAAAATGGAGGTTTTTCTCATCTATTGCTTTTCTTTTTCATACCTAAGGCTTCATTAGGCTGCCTGGTTTCCTTTTCTGCCTGGGTGGGGTCTCTAGCTTGCCTCTCCCCCCTTTGCGTTTTGGTTTCCCTGTTGTCTGTCACTCTTTCTCTGTCCCCCACCTGGGGGAGGGTCTTCCCTGGCTCCCTCCCCTCCCCTGGCTACAGCCCTGAGTGGGCCCTGAGAACACCGGTGTACCCCTCCCCAGCCAGCCTCGCTCCCTCTGCAGCTAGCTTTCCAGAGGTCTGAAGCTGGGCCCCCCTTCCCCTGCGGCAGGAATGTGGGGAGGGGTGGGGAGGGCAGCAGACTCGCGGGGCAGTGGCTTCCTTTGTGGCCACCACGGGCGGAATCCCGGGCAGATTCCTCGCCTTCATTCAGTAAAAGAGGAAACTCCAATTCCTTCCTCAGGCCCCAGGCCCGCCCGGCCCGGCGCCGCCGCCTTCGCCCAGACTCCTGCGCTCCCCCTGAGGCCTGAGCTAGCGAGAAACGCCTGGCAGGCGTGGAACCGAGTGTGCGGGCTGGATGTGCGGACGGGAGGGTGCAGAGATGCAGGAGGGGCCTGCGGAGAAAGCGCTGGTGTGTGCGGAGAATAAGGCTGCCACGAAGTTGGTGGGACACAAGAAAGAGGGGGAGGGAGGGAGGATGAGAGAGACAGAGAGGGACAGAGGTCGAGGTGCATGTATATAGGGGTAAAATTAGTGTAGTGGATGTGTGATGTGAGAAGGGTAATCTCTCTCTCTCTCTATCTCTCTCTCTCACACACATACACACACACACACACACACACACACACAACCATCTGCTCCTAATTGATCCCGGGTTCTGTGGGACCATCGAAAATCCCGCCACAGCCGGCGCGGATTGATTTTCCCCTTCCAGAGTGGGGAACCCGCGGCGGGAAGGCGGGGGGTCGCGGGAGGAGGGAGTCCGCGGAGTCCAGGCGGAGGTCTGGGGCCCCAGACGCTCTGCAGGGAGCCCGGCTGGGGCGCAGAAACCGGGCGCAGGCCATCCTGCCTCCAGTCTCCGGGATCGAGGGGGTATCTCTGTAAGTGCACGTTTGCGCAAACAAAAAGCCCCGCGGGACTCACTGACCCAGACGACCCGGACTGCAGAGACCGCTCTAACCCGCTGCCTCCTCAAGCAGCGGCCGAGACCAGCCGCGCTTACAAAGGCATTGGGTTGCCGGCCAGAAAGCCAGGAAGCCTCCGATCAGCAGAGCCAGGGCTCGCCAGCCTCATCTCGGTCAACCGCAGCGCCTGCCTCCCACTCCCCGAGAGCCTAGCAGGAGCTGCTGGCTCCTCCGAACACATCGGGAACCGGGAGCGGAGGGAGTGTGACGTCCCGAGAGGCCCGGAGCCTTGAGCAGCGGAGACCGCGCCGCCCGCGCCGCGCCCGCCCCGCGCGCTCACCTCCACTTGGTCCGCCGGTTCTGGAACCAGGTTTTGACCTGAGCGTCAGTCATTTTGAGCGCCTTGGCCAGGGCGGCGCGCTCGGCGGAGGCCAGGTACTTCTGGCGGTGGAAGCGCTTCTCCAGCTCGCAGATCTGCAGGCGTGTGAAGGACGTGCGCGGCTTCTTCTTCTTGGGGGGCGTCCGGTTCTGATAGGGGTGACCTATACGGCGTGTTACAGTGAAGGGTGAGAGGGCCACTGGAGCGGGAGACAGACAGACGGCAGAGGCAAGCGGCAGAGCGTCAGGAGGCGTCCCAGGCCCGACACCCCGCGACTCAGCGAGCATAGCAGCTAGACCCCAAAATCAGAGCCGATCAGGGCCTCCATCCTCCCTTCAGCCCTCAGCTCCAAGCCGGGGCCAGAAAGGGCCCCCTCCCGCCGCCAAGCTGCAGCCGCTGCTGCCACCACGGAGGCCTCCCCAGTCCTGGGCTTCCACGTGCCCAACCAGACACTATACCACAGCCACCTCCCCACTCTCCCTGAGGCAGCAGAAGATAGCAGCCCCCTAGGGCCCCCCACAGCTTCCCACTGCCCCAGGCCTCCAGCCTCAGAGAAGCTGCCCAATAGTAAGAGGCTGGACCCTGCCTGGTCCTGACCTAAGCCTCCATCACACAGCGATATACACAGACACATCACATACAACAGTGGCAACTTATAGATCTACACATCCAAACAAGCCAGCAGACAGCACAGGCACTCAGGCAGACACGCACAGGACATGGCAACACAAGGCGGTCATACACTCCCTCCGAACCTTCCTTAGGCCTGAAGGACGAGGAGATGCGCCCGTGGCTCCCCTAGGTAGGCCTCTGTGAGGTACCTTTCAGCAGACCCAGGATTAGTGGGTTCCAGGCTGGGGCTTCCCTCAGAGTCCTTCCCTCATTCCAGCGCCGAGAGAACTTGGGTTGGGGCAGTGGAACTCCTTGAGTCCAGGGCCCTTCCTAGAGCCCCAAAGTGGAGTGGCTGTTCTGCCTCTACGAACCTCCCCTCCCCCCAAAAAAAACTTTTTGCCACAGACCTAGAGTCTGAGCCAAGGTTGGAACAGGAGCAGGGGGGTCTGGGGTGCCCTAGGGTCTCCTGGTCTAGGGTCTAGCTCTAAGCTGCCTACCCCCCCCCCCCTTTCACAGTTGGGCGCTGAAGCCCAAACCCCGCTGGAGTCCCGGCCTGTGCCTCCCTCCTCCTGCTCCTAAGGCCTGTCCGGAACCCAGACTCAATTCGTGGCTGCTTTGCTGCTTCCCAGGGGGCGTGGGGGCCTGGCTGGGCGGGAAGATCATACTCTCAGATCCAGGGGATGCCAAGGGAAGCGGGAAAGCCCGGGGGAAAAGGGGCCCGCGCCCGAGCCAGGGGCTGAGCGCCCGACCAGCGGAAGCCGGGAGCGCAGAGAGCCGGGGACTAACGGAGGAAGGCGGGGAGCAGGCAGCGGAGAGGAGGGCAGCCCGGCGCCGCGAAAACGCAATTGTCCCGGGAGTAGTCCTTTGGCGGCCAATCGATCCTGGGCCTGGCCGGTGCATTATTTACGCCGGAGGGCCAGGGGTAGGAGGTGGAGCAGGCCGAGCCCGGACAGAACGAAAATGAAGCGGACGGCTCAGCCTCACGCTGCCACCGACCTGGGCGAAGCCCGCAGTTGGGGAGGAAAGGCCGCCAGCTCTGCCGCTGTGCTCGGGCTCGTGGCCTCTGCTGGCCCGCAGCGCAGCAGACACTGGGACTTGGAGTGTGTGTGTGTGTGTGTGCGTGTGCGTGTGTGTGTGTGTGTGTGTGTGGCTGGGGGGTGGGGGGCGGAGGTGGGGAACCTGTTCTTTCCTTGCGTCTGGTTCTGGGGCTCACCGCCTCCCAAGAGAACGTTGGCCGGGACGGAAGAAACAGTTTGTTCACATCGCGCCCCTTCTCTGAGATTCCGGGCCCCAAGTGCGGGCGGAATGTGTCCCGAAGCTACATTCCCCTTCCCTCCCTCTGACCGGGCCCAGGACTCCGCGAGGGGACTCCGGGAGCGCTTCTCAGAGCAGGGGTCCGGCGGGAGAGACGCCACGGGCCCAGGCTGGGAGAACTCTGCCAGCATGGCGATTCCTCGAGCATAGAAAGGTGGCAGGCGGCTAAACGTGGGGGAAGCACCAAGAGGAGCTGAGCGACCGACCGGGCAGGCACAGGGGGCTGCAGGGAGCCACGAGGGGGGAGGGAGAGCGCAGAGCCCGGGCCGCGGCCAGGCCGGGCGCGCGCGGGCCCCGGACTCACCTGTGAACCTGTCCTTTGTGTATCTGCGGTTACTCTCCATCCAGGGGAAGGTGAGGCCGGTGAGGTTGTTGACACCCGGCACGGCGGGCACGGAGGGCACCGTGGGCAAGCCAGTAGCCAGAGGCTGGGGGTGGGCCACCGCTCCAGCGAGTGGTCTGTGCGCGGGCACCCGAATCACTCCCGCAGCGCTCAGCGCCCCGCCGCCGCCGCCGCCGCCGCCTCCCGGGGCCGGGCCGCCCGCCAAGGCCATGTTCACGTTGTAGGAGCCGGCCAGAGGGCCCATGCTGCAGGCACCGCCCCCGCCGCCCGCCGGGCCACCGGGACCGCTCGGGCCGCCTGCGCCGTAGGCCCCCGCGTTCCCGGCCGCCGCCCCGGCCACCGGTCCCCCGCCGCCGTAAGCGTAGGCGCCTCCGACCAAACAGCCAAGGCCGTATTCTCCGTCCTGGAGGCGTGAGTTTGGCCCCATGCAGCCGCCCTGGTCCGGGCTGTTGAGGATCTGGTCGATGCCGAAGCTGATGGGCTCCGCGTGGCCCGGGTGGAGATGGTGCGGACCCAGGTGCTCCATGCCGACCCCCGCCCCGGCCCCGCGGGGGGCGGGGGGCCTGGGCGGCGGGGCTCGCTGTTTTTTCGCTCTGGGTGCAGCGCGCAGGGGCGCGAAAGCAGGAGCGCTTCCTGGCTGCGCCGAGACTTGGAGGCGAAGTACGCAGAAGGGCTAAAGTAGGGGGGAGGGGAAGGAGAGAGGGGGCGCCGTGTTCTACTCCTCTCCGGCTGCTCCTTCCCCTCTCCGGCTGCTTGCTCGCTGTTGACTCTGGGACATCAATCACCGGGCGAAAAAGCCCGGTGCGAGGGAGCCTAGCCGTTCCGACCCGGTCTCTCCATTGGCTGTGAGCAGAGAGAAGCGGGGTGAATGACAGCGCGGGGGAGGGGCGGAGACGGGGAGAGGGAGGCCGGGAGCCGAGACAGATGCCGGAGCCAGAGACAGAAGGACGGAGACTGAGGCGCAGAGAAGCAGTTCAGGAAGAGGGGAAACCGAGACTTAAAAGGAGAAAGAAAAAGAGCAGGAGGTGGCCATTCCCAGAGACTCACAGACAGACGGAGCCCAGGAGGTGGAGGTCAGAGCCCTCTTCCCCGCCAGGCAGGAGCCGCCCCCTAAATTTGAATTGGGCCAAAGGGGTCCAGGCCACAGGCCTCTGGGGAGGAGGCGTCCCTTGGCTACTGGAGAATCTTCCCAAGGGCTTAGCTGGGAAACACCTGCCCATCAACCAGAGTATTTACACCAAACGTCAAGCCCAGCTTGTTAGACAGTAGAAGACTGTCTACTCCCAGGTATGGAGCCCAGGTCAGGGAAAGTGACTTCCGGCTGGGCCTTCTTTGAAACATGAGCCTATGAACTACTGGCTATATGTTGAAAAAAAAAAATCAACCACCACCCAACTGAGCCTGTTTAAGGAAACTGAGGAAGGGAAGACTTCCTGAAAGGCAAGCACAGACAAGGGAGTTCGCTTGAGGCCTGTTGCCATGGTGCCTATGCTTCAAGATACCCCTTTCCTTTAAAATAAACAGATGTCTCAGGAAGCAGTTCCCACAGTATGTGAACGAATTCAATCGGATTGTTTCACCTAGCAACTAGGCCAGGAGTGGAAATTTCAAGCAAGAAACCGTCAGACTGTGGTAAGGGGGAGGGGTTATTTTCTTACTTTTGGAATCTAGGGTCTTAAGGCAGTGGGGGCCTGGGGATGGTGGGACTAAGATGAGGGAAGTGCATCCAGGACCAATTTAGGCCTTTTCAAAGTTTTGCCTGTGGCTGACTGGCTTAGAGCCCAGGAGAGGAGGAAACTCCCTTTTCTGCTTCCCCTTTCCCCTCTCCAGTAGGGAAATGTTTGATCCCTCCCAGAAGCCAAAATTGGGAAAGGCATAGGTTGGATAACTTGGGATCTATGTCTGGTCTAGTCTAGATTCAACAGGCCTTCAGAGAGGAGTGTCTATCCGGCAAGGTGCTAGAATGTGAAGGCACACATTCTACTTATCAAGTCTTATTGCAATGTAATGTTTGCTTTGGCCTATGACTTCCACTTGAAGAGATCTCCTTGGAGGCAAAAAATGGCTTACTTATCTCTGTTCCCTCCCGCCCCCTGTGAAGTATAACCCCAACCCACAAAATATATTCATTTTGAGTGAATAATGAATGAATTAACCTCCTTATTCAACAAATTTTTTAAGCACCTACTATGTGTCAGGTATGGTTCTTGGCACTGAGAAAGGAGCAGTGAACAAAACAACGTTTCTGCCCTCATGGAGCTTGCATTCCATAGAGGAGATGTAAAGAAGCAAATACAATAAGCCAGAGGATGATGAGTGTTATGGAGAACACTATAAACTCTACACTAACTCTTTGAGATGAGTATTAACCCTATTTTACAGATGCAAAGGAACCAAATCTCAGAGAGGCTAAGTGAGGTGATAAGATGGAGGAGCTGGATTCTACTTGCTTTCATGGGTTACCCTGAAACCCTGGCTGCTGGTTGGAACAGCATCTCTAAAAGGAACACCTTGTCTAGGCTCCAGGCAAGTACTCCAATTCAAGTACTACACCTCAAACAGGAGGTTCCATAACTTTCTTTGGAAGTTGTTTGAACCTGAATGTGTCTCTTTCCTGCTTCTTATGTTGAAAGAACTGAAAAAGAAATAGATAAAAGTGTTTTACTGAGAAACTACTATGTGCCAGGCACCACACCACACTGATCTCATTTCAGACTCACACAACCCTGTGAAGTTAATAGAAACATCTCCATTTTTAAATTATTAAGAAAAAATGAATCTTCATAAGAGTATTTTTCTTTTTTTTTCTTTTTTTTAAAAATATATTTTATTGATTTTTTACAGAGAGGAAGGGAGAGAGATAGAGAGTTAGAAACATCGATGAGAGAGAAACATCGATCAGCTGCCTCCTGCACACCTCCCACTGGGGATGTGCCCGCAACCCAGGTACATGCCCTTGACCGGAATCGAACCTGGGACCCCCCAGTCCGCAGGCCGACGCTCTATCCACTGAGCCAAACCGGTTTCGGCAAGAGTATTTTTCATAATGAATAGTATTATTCATAAAGCAATTTTGATGAATTTTGATGAATAGATAAATAAAATGAGGTATCTGTACAAATGACTTTATATTCAGCCATAAAAAGGAATAAAAAGGACATCCTGGTTCATGGTACAACATGGAAGAACCTAGAAAACATTATGCTAAGTGAAGGAAGCCAGGCACAAAAGGCCACATATTATATAATTTTATTTATATGAATCATCCAGAATAGGCAAACCTATAGAGACAGAAAGTAAATTAGTGGTTTCCAGGAGCTGGAGGGCGGGGGGAGGGGGGGGAATTGACTACAAGTAGATACAAAGTTTCTATTTGCAGTGATGAAAATATTGTGGAGTTAGATGGTTATGGTTGCACAACTTTGTGAATATACTAAAAACCACTGAGTTGTACAATTTAAAGGGTTGAAATTATGTTACATGAATTATATCTCATTTTAAGAAAAACAAAAACTGAGACTCAGTGAGACGAATAAGTTGCCCAGAGTCACACAGACAGAAGAGGACTAAGCTGGGATCCTAAACTCTGAACTCCTTTCCTGCAGAGGCTGAAACTATAGGGAGAGAGCCTTCAGCATCCGTTGAGGTTGGGTCCCCATTGCCTTGCTCTGTCTTTCTCCTTTTAGTCAAGGAGTCACATTGTGTCTAACAACAGTTCTGCCTGCTGCAATTAAAATCCTGTCTTTCTAGGTTATCCTCAAAACTTCTCTTTGCCACCTCTGGCCCATGCTAGAAACCCCTTGAGTGTTCCTAACACTCTCCCCCTCCTCCCTCTCCCCCTCCGAATGCACCTTTCCAGCCCCCATGGCTTTCCAGTCCTGCCTGATCCAACCCTTTGGGCATCTGCCTCACTCACCTCTTGAACGCCTCACTTCCGTCACCGGTTGTCCAGGGTAGCTGGGAGGAGACCTCATCCTTGCTGGCCTAGCCTAAGTTTGGCAGAAGTCACCGCTGCCGAGGGGTCCACTAAGACTGTCAGGATGCTCTTCTCACCAAATTCAACCACCCAGGGACATCCTGCCTTTCCCTGCCTCACTGCTACCTGACTGACTGATTTCTTTGGAATTTCCCACCCAACTCTCCTGCTTATCAGAGTCAACTTTTCTCCCAATCTAGTTCTGAGCTGCCGGCCTCCCCCCAGCTGGGGTTCTTTGAGTCCAGCTTGACCTCGGCCTTTGTCTTCCAGTGGGATAGTAGCTGAGGGCAGGGTGACCCTCTCTGTCCCTTCTCTGCTAGGAAGATGAGACAAGAGTGCCAGGATTTGTTGGCTTCTGGCCCCTGCCACTCCCTGAAGCAGTTTCTTGAGCACAGCGCTGCAGGTTAGAAAGTTTTCTGAAATGGAGGAGGAGACTCAGCTTATCTTCGGTGCGGCTTGCGGCTTGCGTTCCATGCCTTGCAGAGTAGCCCCGCTAGGAAAGAGGAGGGAGGAAAAGGAGGCAGGACTGACAAAGAACCGGTGGTGTCCTAGGTTCCCTCTCATCCCATCCTCCAAATGTCCTGTGATGCGGCTTTTGTTGTCTCCATTTTACAGATGAAAAGACCAAGGCACTGAAAACTGAACAGGGACAGAATTGGGCTCAAATGCTGTTTTTCTGATTCCATTCATTACAAGCTGCTTCCTCAGCACCAAACCTGGCAGATGTGGTCCTTGCCTTGCAGGAGTATCTTTGCACACATCTAGGTGAGTTCCAGCCCTGAGGCCACCTGGTAACACCCCCCCCCCCTTCCAGCACCAATCCTCCCAGCGCCCCACCCCACCCGCCTGCAGAATAAAGAAGTGCTTCCAATTAAAAGAGGAGCAGCTGAGGCTGAGGCTGGAGAGTGGGGGTGGGGGGAGGAAAGGGAGGGCTCAGCCACAGGGGAAGCCCCTTCGGATCCCTCATTGCTTCCTTCCCCCTCTGGGAGAGACCCCTGATCCAGGGGTTGTCCTATAGCTTAGGGGTGTGTATGGTAACTTAATTACTTTGTGTGTGTGGGACTGTGTGTCCATGAGGGGAAGCTGGATGTGCATGACAGTGAGGGTTGTGTGTTTGTCTTTAAGGAATAACTTTAAAAATTTACCCAAATATGTACCAAGTGTCCATTATGTAATTGTGTTAGGCTGTTGGGACACAACTGCAAACAAGAGGCATGTCTATTGGTAAGATTGCTGGGGGTGGGGGGAATCTGTTTTACAGTTGGATTTGCTTGTGTGAAGGATGTGTGTGTGTCAGTGAGAATGCGAGTGGATGTGTGTTTTCTGTAACAGGATGATTGTGTGTCTCTACAGCTATTCCTCTGTAATGGGCCCATACATGCTGGTGTGAGGCTGTCCCTTGGCCTGTGTGTGAAAGTGTGAATGTAATAATAATGTGTGTTGCTGATGGTATGTGTGTATCTGGGGGAGGGGCGTCCTATTTTCTAGTGCAGTTGTCAGGGAAATGGCCATATGTGGACCTGTGGTAAGAGAGTGACAGGGTATGCCCAATAGGCATTTAGCAGGAAAGGCGTAGAACAGGCTGAGAAATATGTAAGGGGATGTGTAAAATGAAGCAGTCCATGGTGGGACCATTGAGGTCTGGATTCTCAGTACCAAATATGCCCCTCTGCCTTGCTCACCTGCCTCCGTAAAGAGGTAGGAAATTTCTCCTTCCACGAAAGAGGCAGGCACAGCTCTGACTTAGGGCCTTAGAGACCCAGTAAAGGGAACCCCACCTGCCCAGAGCCCTGGGGTGGGGGTGCTTGCCTCTAGGAGCCTATGTTGGTGAAGG